TATATATATACGTATTACAATACAAAGTCTCCAAACTTTTGTCCGTCATTCCCCCGAGTCTGTTCCACCGTCACCGGCCTAATTGACAAAGAGTTGAAAAGTCGATGACTATATATATAGTTACACTCGTAATAACCCTGAGCTCGACCTACCCCTGCCGTGACACCGACGACGGTGGCTATTATTATTATTATTTATATACAATATTTTTATACATCAAAAGCTCTTTCTTCCCCAGATGGTTTTTATGTTTTCATCATTATGTTATATATATATATATATATATTGTATCTTGCGGCTGACGACCACGCGAAATCTCCCCACGACGTGAAAAATCGCCGTAACCGAAAAAAATAAACCAAATATAATAAAAAGGGGGACATACACATTCATGCACGCACACACATTCAAACTCTCTCGCTCTCTTTCTCTCTTTCTCTCTCTTCCTCTCTCTCTCTCTCTCTGTCGTCGCGATTTGACGTTTAATAAAAACGATTTTCGTGCAACTCGGTGCACTTGGGGCGCGCGACATTTGCGTTATCGTATATACATCTACGATATCTAAAAATATAATAACAACGACGACGACGTGAATTATATTATTATTACTATTATATCGGTCGTGGGTGATGAGAAGCTGTGTGTGTAGCCGGTGTGGCTGACCGCACGATACCGCGAATATTATATGCGCCACGGMTTTTATGCAGCAATGGTAGTCAGCGGAGGGGTGATTGGGTCGTGTGCGTACGTATTGAATGTGCGTATAATATAATATATTATATAGATATAGGGGAAGAGAAACAAAAAACTAATCGCGACAGCTCGTGATGAAAACAGCAGCCTTTGGTATATATACACTCGCCGCCGTTTCCCCGAAACTACCCTGTTTTTTCAACCCCCATTAGTAACATATATATATGTGTGTGTGTGTGTGTGTGTATTAGTATATACGCAATGCAATTACTATCTGCAATATTCGTGTTACCGCGATTTCCGTATAATACATAAAATATAATGTTTCATGATGGCCGTTGTGTYGCATTCACTCGGTCTCGAATTTTCAGTTAGATGAGACCAACAATATTGTATCGTTATTTATATAGCGAGGTTCCGCGGGGTAGTGCGGCGTGTTCGAAAATTGCTGTAATTTACGTCGTCTGCGGTCAACTGCGGCGCCAGCAAAGCGACCTCTACACACTTTTATAACTTTTATGATAAGAATAATATGATATATGTTTATAATGTTTAAATATTGTACTTGGCGGCGGCGTTGTTTGATCGACGAAATGCGAAGCCACGTGACGCGATTATATATGRTATATTAATCAAAATATTATTCTCATTTCTCTGGCACATACAAAACCGTATATTACGATGATGAGAAAAATGAATTGTATACGTACACGATATAGCGTCTTCTTCGCGTATATTATATATAGTACCTACGAACCTACGTTAAGTATAACGTTTTCATTACTTCGCCCCACTTTAATTGATGGGCTCGGTTCGCGAACGATTGCTATTGACTATATACGGCCAGACACTCTCTGGAACATAACAAACATAATATTATTATAATAATATAATTTGAGATAATAATATATACGCGCGTATTGTGACAATTTAAAAAGATAAAATTCACTCCCGACGACGCACGCGTAACATATTATATTATAAAGACGCGAGACCAGTGAGAGGGAAAAAGAAGTATACGTCGACGCCGCGATCGAMTGGAAAAATAATATTTAAGAAAAGATCGCGCCCAGCACGCGCGCGTTATTAATTTAAATAAACTACGCGTTACGTCATCGTCAATCGTCGTATAATGCGCATAAACACATAATATCATAATGGATATGAAATATTTGTGTGATTACCGCACTCGGCTGCAGCAGCAATGCACCGCCCGCCTGCAGGCCGTCGTCCGCCGAGGTCAAACGATCCATTAGGTGCTATTATATATACGACGACCGACAATAGACACAACTGCAGCACCAACGGTGTATCATATATTGTGTGGGTAGACGATGTTACAGCTGACTGCTGAGTATAACAATATACCACGGAACCAAGCAGGTACAGCTCACAAAAAAACAGAAAGTTTCCAACCACATTATTTCGAATACGACTTTTATACGCACTATAGCTGCAGGTGGTAGGAAAAAAAACCAAATCAAAAAGTACCCTATAAACCTAATTCACATACCTAATRCATAGGTAACCGTCGGCGGCGGTTAGTGTAATCGAAAATCAAAGGGAGATCCTTAGCAAAATTTGTCGGAACGTGGTGTTATTCGTCAAATATATTTCTGTATACACTGTATTTATCTGGAACTATATCGATATGGGTAATATATTTTATCCAAATTATTTACTCAGAATCATACTCACTTTGTTTGAAGCCATTGGTAAATATTATTTTGGAATCTTATTTGATTGAATCTATTATTTTATCGGAAAATAATTTGTTTGGAACCGTATACCGTAACTCAATGGGTTCACGAAAATAATAGGTTGGAATAACAGTTCCGACAACATAATAATAGTATGTTTCCAACAGAACGTTTTCCACATTTTAATACATTTTTATAAACATCAGAAAATAATATCGAATTTTTATAATACACGAACACAACGTACACCGGTGACTGGACTAGTAGTATAAGTCAGTGACTACGACATAYCCACTTCTATAAAAAATATTATTTTATCTATTTTTTTGTTGTGTATACGTATGGAATATTATATTATTATTACAGAGGCGCCAATTTGCGAGAAAAAATACAGAATATAGAAAAGTATAATATAGGTATCGAGAGGATCCACCGCGGACGGCGCGGGATGGAGATTAAAACCAAATTTTTTCATTCATGCATTTTAATCAGCTATGTTATTCTATACGTYATCTAAAATATTGTACGCTATTGAGGACGACGACCGTGACGTTTCACGCGGAARTCGATGTTTTCGGGGACAGCGTTTTTGCCGAGGGGAAGGGTTTGCTCGCACACGAGTTTTTGGCGTTTAAGACCCGGCGGCGGCAACTTGCACTCCGCGGGGATGACGAGTGGCGGGCCAGTCGAAAGGGCAAATATTATCATAACGCTCCGTAGTCGTATAGTACGCATACACACATACGACGTACATTATTACAGTCGCGCGTCATCCCTCTCATGTATGCTAATGCGGGCTGCGCCGGGGCCCAATTAAAGAATCATCCCTCGCGCGTGGTTATCGAAAACCGAAAAAACAAAACAGCACGGCCGAACGAAAAATTAAAAACCGCGCTCGCGGTCACGAACTCCGCGAGGGTGGCACGACCGTCCGGACGAGTGTTCGTACAAACAAACATCAGCGGCGCTCGCGTGCAGTTATAATATTATATTGTTGCAGTATATTATAATATAGGCGACTTTGATGAGACCAGTCGTATCCACATCGCTGCAGATTTTTCCATGATGTGCTGCAGCTGGCATAATCATACGTATATCATACCCCCCCCCCGGAGGAGTATATAAAATGCCTTGGTAATTCGTACGGGGGGCGCCCTGTTATATGAAATATCGGGAGTTTCATATAGATCTCCTATAGAAATATTATGACACAGTTTTGATATAACGAAAAATGTTTTTACGATGATTATATTATGATAATAATAATACTTCTGAATGTCAGCTATACCTACATATTATATAATGAACAATTGAAATACGTCACACCTTTATAAACGCAACCATCATCTAATAATATTTTGTTTTTTTTTTTCTATCGTTTTACAGACGCGTGCGGGTTGTCGGACGTGGCGCACATCGAGTCGCTACAGGAAAAATCTCAGTGCGCCCTGGAAGAGTATTGTCGGACACAGTACCCGAATCAGCCGATCCGGTTCGGCAAGCTGCTGCTCAGGCTGCCGTCACTGCGCACGGTCAGCTCGCAGGTCATCGAACAGCTCTTCTTCGTCCGGCTGGTGGGCAAGACGCCCATCGAGACGCTCATCCGGGACATGCTGCTTAGCGGCAGCAGCTTCAGCTGGCCGTACATAAACTCCATGTGACACTCCGTCTGGAGGCAGATGACGGGCACGCCAGCCCCGTTGTGATGCCGCGCCGCCGCTTAGTCTACATATTATTATACACTCCGCCGGTCGTTGTCGCGCGTCGCGAGGTAAACATATTCATCGGTATTGGGCGCGATGCGATGTCTGCCCACATAATATTATGCTGTTGGAATATTTCAACGCGGACGCCGTGCCATCGCCGCCGGGTACTGGACGTGCCGTCACCTTTTCCACGCGCCGAGAGCAAACCACCGCATCACCAACGCCGCCGTATCACCTGCACCGATCGTATATTATAATATTATAATTATTATTATTAACTGTGCGTTTTATTATTATTGTATCTTTATTTTGTTTGTTTTTATTGTTTATTATTATTATTATTATTATTATTTTTTTTTTTTAATGTCCAAAAAATTAGGCCCTATAAGCGCGTTTTAGTCTACAAGCCACTTAGACGACTGGGAGAGTTGCAATATTTATTACGATTTTATGCCGTATAAAACATTTCTTTAATCGGGTCGAGCTTGATGAAAAATTCCATCGATGTACATCAAACAATTTTAATTTCATTATAACCATTATCTACCCATTATTTTTACTATAGACAAACTTGCAGCGACTGTAAATACCTATATATATGGATATATATATATATATATATATATATACAAATGGCATGTACAAATGTTTGTGGGTAATGTTATATACATATTATACCAACCAAAAAAATATATTTAAATAAATAAATAATAAACACCATGCCTAAAAAGCACTGTAATATAAATAATAATAATAATAATAATAATAACAATAAACGTTTTTGAGTCAAATTATGATATTATTATTTAGGTTATTGTTTTGTTTCCCTTTGCAGACTT